TCGTGGAGTTGGACGAGAGGAAGCTCAAAACATTGGCAAACCACCCAGCCAACGCAGCATCGGACGCCGGCGCAGGTTGAGAGCGTCGCGACGAAGATGGCACGGCCAACGCCCGGCGCAACAAGCCTTATCTGAGACTTTGCGTACACGGCGCATTGCGCGGAGGGCAGGGCGCTGGTCGGCATGGCTATAATCGCACTTCTGGACGTGAGCAGCTGTATCTTGCCTGCACACGTTTCGGAAAGATGGCATCGTTTTTGTGGTTGAGGCGCTTGCGCTGGAGTGGGCGATCGAATTTGGATTGGCGGCGGTCGACTGGGAATGGGCGAGTCGGCTTGCTAGTTCGCCGCATCAGTGGGCCGGGCCCCTTCTCTCAACATTTGTTGTTGTCTGGCTGTGCGCTCGACGCATCGTGTCACTATTGAAAGAACGCAGAAGGATGGCAGTCCGCCCGCTCGTCCACCTGGAAGCTTGGTCGGTGATCCTCGTTCTCCTCCTCCTCCCCCTCCTTCCCCTCCTCCTGCTCCTCCGCCCCCGCCTCCTCCTCCTCCTCCCCCCCATTCCTTCCCGTGCCCTCCTGCTCCTCCTGCTGCTGCTGGTCCTCCTCCTTTCCTCCAACGGCTACGCGTGGCTCCTAGCCGACGACGCGGCTGACGGGGGCCCGACTGACGCTGTCAACGCCATCGCCAGCCGACTGGAAAAAAAAAACAGCAGTGGACACGCGCAAGCAAGCACCACAACGGCAGCGGACTTGAGCACGGAGCTGACCTCGACTACCTCTAGTGCCATTTGCACCATCTCTAACCGGAGAGGAAGCACGACAGACATGGCGCTCTACTTGCGGCAGCACGTGCAGGGACATGGCCACAACTACGCATCGCAGACGCCCACGTCACCGCCAACCTCTGCGAATATGGGGCAGCCGACGACGACTGCCACAGGACATGGGGAGTGCGCCCACGCCGACCCGACCGCATCATCTACCTGCGCACGGACCACTTGCGAGACAGAACCACAGAAGGACTCGACGCCGGCGCAGCATTCTGGCTACGAGGCACATCGCCCAAGCCGACGACGTGCCCACCACCATGCGCCACGGAGCCGACAGACATCAAGGAAGGGGGCGCCTTGCACGGCGCCCTCCAGAGCGACGGCGACCAACCGTTCCGATTCTGCGGCGATGGAAGTGGCGGAGCAGAATCCAGCAACAAACGCCACCGCCGCTGCGGCCTGCGGCTGGGCCTGGGCACTCATGTCCGACCACGAGACAGTCCAAGCTGCGGCGCGAGGACCACCACCAGGAGCACGACAAACGAACGACAGAGCAGAGCTGCGACCGCTACACATCCCCCCAGAGTTCCAAAGGACGCATTGAGTACTGGACGGACTCGGAAGTAGCGTGCGAGCACAACGTTTCAAGAGCAACAGGTACCGCCGCAACAACGGCGACGTCTGGAGGGACATCGAACACGCAATCCATGCTAGAGGAGGTTCACACCAATATATCGTCGTGCGCCACCTCCGCAGCCACGAAGACTGGGAAACAGCGGCAGCACGGCGAGTACCGAGGTGGGCGTGGAAGGGCAACCAAGAAGCTGTCGCGCGAGCTGACAGAGGAGCTGACGAACACGCTCTACCAGCAGCACAACAAAGTCGCTTCGAATGGGCGCGAACCGTCGGACAGCTCGTATGACAGCGAATCACACGAGCAACTTTGGACGCCATGGCAAGACGACCTCCCATGACATGGGGGCAGCGCGATGCACTGCGGAAAGCAGCACGGCAGGCAGCGCGCAAACCACCGCGATTCGAACACCTTGCAGCCAGTGGCACCCACAGGCTGACCAGAACGAGCACGGGATGGAAATGCGAAACACGCAGACAAACAGCCGTAACAAGACGCAGCACAGTGGCGAGATGGCGGCTGGCCTCGCAACGCACGGCGATGCCTGCAGCTCGCAGTCCGGAGACGACCGCCACATTCACGCTGAAGGGCAGATGCGCGCACCACTCGCATCACAAGTGCTGGAGCAGGAAAGAACGACGACACTTCTGCTACAACTGCGGAGGCCTGGCTGAGGAAGACATCAGCGAGAAGCTCGCAGAATAATGCAAGCGACCACATAGGGAAACCAAGGGCACATTACGTGGTCAGATCATTGCGTAAACATGCCTGAGCACCGGCTGGGCGACCGACGGCGCATCGCAGCGCGACGCAGCACAAGCACCAGCACCACGCAGCACGACGCAGCAGCGACCTCCAGAGGGTCACCCTGGCATCTGCCCAATTTTAGGGTGACCCTTCGGGCTTCGTTCTGCCGCTGGGGGCCGCTCATGCGTCGGTGCGGACATGTGTTTTGTCCTCGTCTAGGCCGCTGGGGGCCGCCCTTGCGGCGGTGCGGCACTGGCAGTATCTCGCCGTGGGAGGCCGCCCTGACGGCGGTGCGGTCATGGACTGGGCCATCCTGGCAGACGTTTCCTCGCCCCTGCCGCTGGAGGCCGCATTTTCGCCGGCGCGGCTTTACTGCCCTCGCCGTTTGAGGCCGCCCCAACGGCGGTGCGGGCATGGACGGGGGCTTCGTTTCTGCCGCTGGAGGCTGCCCATGCGGCAGTGCGGACATGTGCTTCCTCCTCCTCTCTGCCGCTGGAGGCCGCCTTTACGGCGGCGCGGACTCGGCAGTTTCTCGCCGATGGAGGAAGCCCCACGGCGGCGCAGTCATGGACTGGCCCATTCTGGCCGGCGTTTCCTCGTCTCTGCCGCTGGGGGCCGCCGCGCGGCGGAGCGGCGCGGCGCGGTGAGGCTCACCCGAGCATCCGCTTCATTTTAGAATGACCTGACGGCGCATGTTTGTTATCGGGCCTTCTGAGAGCGCGCGTAGGCAGGGCCGCGAACGCGCGCCCCCCCCCCCTCCCTCGGGCCTCAGCGGGGCGGAGGGGGGCGGGGCAGCGAGAGTGCGCTCAGAGCTGCGAGAGACAGCGCCGCGCGGCTCCTCCGCGCGCGGCCCTGGCAGCCGCGAAGTTCTCGTGGGCGGCCGCGCGCATGATGGGCACCTCGCCGCGCAGCGAGGACGCGGCGGGCGACCGGGTGGGCCGGGGCGCTCGAGGTCTCGAGTCTTACTATTGGTACGACTCCATCACAGACGGTGCTCAGAGCGACGACTGCACTGACGACGAAGAGGAGATCGACGAGGCGAGTGGGGAGCAGCACATGCCACCGCAGAGATGGAGCAGAGTCTACCATCGGCCGCGGGCCGACGACAAGAAGGGGTTGATCATGCCGCCGGCGACTCGTTTCACGGCAACGACGGGGGGAAGCGCCGGGTTGCTATCGATCCGACTGGGCGGCCCCAGGCGGTGGATCTCTCGTCCACAAACACGGTGAAGCCCAGCAGGTTCGCAGGCGTGGACCGCGGCAGCTTCCCGGGCATGTCCAGCCGAGAGAAAAGCATGGCCGTGGAGGCGGCCGACCATACAGATCCTCGGGAGCTTCGACGACGACGGCCACGATCACGAGGGACTACCAGCGCAAGAACTCCACCATGAGGAATGGTCACCGACGCCACTTCGCGACTTGGGCTGCGAAGATTGCGAGCAACACTGCCGGCTACATGTGGGCTCGGCGGAGCTTCGGAGGTTTCGCTGGATATACTTTTGCGCCGCGGCGTGCGCGCGCATACTTCAACGCGATCGAGGGGATCAAGCGGGCCCACTCGAGGGCGAAGAAGACCATCGACACGGTCGAGGGTTGAAGCGAGGAGTACGAGCACGTCCTGGAGCTGCACGGGTCGGGGGTGCTGGGGCCGCTGTGCATGTCGGTGGGTATCGTGTTCGTAGTCGGTGTGACTGGTGCGTGCTGCGGGCGACGAGAGAGTTCGGGTCGCCCATCGCCCAGCGGGCACTCGGAGGTGGCGGCGCCTACGTTGTGGGAGCAGCTGTCGCCGCGGTCGCCCACGGAGTCCGCGAGCCCGTCGGCTGTCCCGACGCCCCGCGACGAGGGCACCGTGATCGCCGACGAGGAGGGCGGGTCGAGCGAGTCCGAGTTGGCGAAGCAGTCCCAGCTGCTCGAGCGACTCGCGACGCGCACATGGAGATCGTCCAGGCCGACAGCCTAGCAGCGACAGCAGGCGCTCCTCCCCGAGCTCAGGAGGCGACGGTCAGGGATCCCGAAGTCGAGGCGCAGGTGCGAGGTCTGGACGGCTCCTTCAAGGACATGGGCGTCATGGCGAAGGAGAAGTTGGAGGCCTTCAGCCCGACCGTGAGCTGGACGATCCCTGCGGGCATCAAGACCCGCGTCGCTCCTGCCATGGCGGCTCGCCTCTACAGGAACGGGGCGACCGCCGTGTCCACGATCCGCGAGATTATTCGCCTCGAGCAGCTGGAGGGCAACCACATGGCCGAGGAGATGCCGCGCATAGAGATGATGATCAACCGCTCCATGATCGAGGCCCCCCCCCGAGTTCATCAACGACAAGACGACGGAGCTCGCGCTTCGGAGGTTGCGCGGGATCGAGCGGGCCTTCGAGAATGCGAAGCAGCGCAGCGACTGGAAGCCTCCGAACGGCGCGAAGCAGGGTTGGATATCAAGGATCAACTACCACGTGCTGGAGGAGCTCGACGCGCCCAAGGCCGACCAGAAACGGGCCCTGATCGACGGCGTGGAGAAGGAGCTGCGCGAGCGGCTCGCGCATCGCGCCCTGCTCGCCACGACCACAAGAACGCGCCGACGAAGAAGGACGAGCAGCTGGTCGAAGAAGGTTCCTGTTCAGGCGGCGGGCCCAGGCCGGGCGCTTCACTCGTGCGGTGCTGATCCTGATCGGCGTCGCCCACCTCGCCAACGTGCGCGGCGGCGTTCTTTTCTATAATTTCTCATGGACGCGAGAGCGGAGTGCGTGTTCCCGCCAGACGGTCGAGTCACAGGCTCACTGGAGGTGTTCCCGCTCCTAGCCTGTCCCGAGCCCACGTCGTCGACCTCGGGGCGATCGAGGTCGCGGGCCGCTCAGGAGAAGGCGGCGCGGGCTCGGGCGAATGCTGTTCTGAGGCCCTTGACGGCTCTCACCACTGGCCGCTGCGATCAGCTTCGAGACGCTGCGTGGGGCAGTGCGACGGACTGGGCGAGAAGCCGCGAGCCGCCGCGGAGGATCTCGGAGAGGGTGCTGGAGTGCCACCGGGGGGCCCGCGACCTGAAGGTGCACGCTTCCGACGCCGAGCTCGCTTTCGAACGGCTGGCCTTGCGAGCCGAAGCTGGGGCCCACGAGGCCTTGGCCGCGTCGGACGACGACGAGGGGGCGCCGCCAAGGGGCAAGGCGATGCCCTTCGTGAGCGGCGAGGCGTCTCTGTCGCCAGCAGGGGCGGAGCCGTGCGACATCAAACTGGTCTCGCCGAAGGGCAGGTACTACTTCGACAGGTTCCACGAGAGGATGGCCCTTCCGCCGAGCCAGGTGGACGAGGCCGACATCGAGGCCACGCGCTCCTACACCGACCGAGCCTCCGCCAGCGAGCTGCGCGCTTGGATCTGCGGCGCGCCTGTGGGGGGCGGTGTTGCTCGGGTTCACCCGCGTCTGCAAGGCCGAGGTAGCCGTGTTTTTCGTGATGAAGAAGACGCGCGAGGACGGGGTATACGCGCTGAGGCCCGCGTGGGACACGTGGCGCGTGAACGAGCGCTTCAGGAGCCCGCCGCACCTCAACCTCGGGCCCCCATGGCGATGGTGGAGCTCGACCTGTCCGACGATGCGACGCAGGGCCGAATTCTGAAAACGACGCGGGGCGACGTGCCCGACATTTTCACAGGTGCCGCAGTTGTGCCGAAAAGTGGCCCTACATGGCGCGCGGAGGTGTCTCGACCGACGAGTTCGTGAAGGAGCTCAAGAGGCGGCGGATGAAGCTGCCCAGCGTGCCGAGCGGATGCCGATATCTCTGTCTTGTCGCGATGGTGACGGGGTTCAGCTGGTCGCCAGCGATCTGCCGCGGAGCGCTGGGGGATGTGATATGCGACCTGTCCAGTTTTCCTCGTCACGGCCAGCTGATCCACGGTCTGATACCCCCGAGCTTCGCCGAGGTTGCCTTCATCTACTGGGTTGTTAAGGACGACTTCGCCTCGTTGGCTCTCGTGCGCGAGAGCGACAAGACGACCGTGGAGACGGTGAAGGAGGCTGCTCGGGCGAGGCTGAAGGAGGTGGGCCTGGACATGCGCAAGGATGGAGTCGGGGATGCATGCCCCCTCTCTCTTGGAGCGACGATCACCGAGCAGCCGTGCCGACTCCTGGCCTCCAGGGAGAAGATCCAGAACGTGATCGGGTCAATTGGAGCTGTCATGGCTCGAGGCCGAGCGTCGTCTCAGGAGCTGTCCCGTATCATTGGTTCGTGGGTATGGCTTGCGATGCGTTGTCGACCCGCCTTTTGCCTGCTGGATGCGCGCTACAAGTTCGTGGCGAAGTTCGAGGGCGACCAGACCAGGCGCAAGCTCTGGGAGAGCGCGCTGCACGAGCTTCACATGCTCTACCACCTCGCGCCCCTGATGCACACACACACACACACACACACACCTGGAGCCCCGCTGGAGCCAGGTCGCGTTCGCGACCGACGCGAGCGAGGCTGGCATGGGCGCGGTGGAGACCCAGGCGACAAGGAGCGAGGTCAAGGCAGAGGTGGACCGACGGTGGAGACTCCAGCAGCCTCGCGACATCGCCAGGGACGAGGAGGAGGAGCTACTGCTGACTGGCGACGACTGGGAGTTTTCCAATCGGGGAATCCCGAACACCAGCGGCGAGAGCGACGCCCCCCCCCCGCGGCTGATGGCCGACGTCCTCGCGGGCTACGGCGGGTTCGGAGAGGAGGTGCGGAGCGAGTGCCAGTGCGAGACCCTCTCCGTGGACAACGCTCGCAACCCGCGCCGCGACCTCATGGGCCCGTCGTTCGTCGAGCTCATGTGCCGAGCCATTATGTTCGGCTTCTTCTTCATGGTGCACATGGCTCCTCCATGCTCGTCCTTTTCCAGAGCGCGGAGGCCGGCGATTCGGGCGCCTGGTCGCTGGATTCGAGGGCCCCTTGGGCTGCCCCCACCTCAGGTGCAGCGCGTCCGTGAGGGCAGCGCCCTGGCACGGGCAGCTATCCCCACGTGCTTCGCATGCCTGGCTGTAGGCATTGGTTTCTCCTTCGAGAACCCCAGGACCTCGATGATCTGGGAGCTGCCCGAGATGGCGATGCTGATGGAACAACCAAGCGTCTTTGTGGCGGAGCTGGTGCACTGTTTTTTTCCGGGGCGAGGCGGCTCAAGCCGACGCGACTGCTCGCGAACGTGGAGAGTCTGAGGGAGCTGGCGCGCCGACGCTCTCGAGACCATTCTCATCGTGAGCTCCGAGGGCGAAACGCCGAAGGGCAGCTGTGGACCAGGCTCGCCGCCGGCCACCCTCCTCTGCTCTGCAGCGCCTACGCCAAGCTGGTTAGAAAGGCGATCGACGCCAAGCGGTTAGAGCTGCACGACTGGCGAGTTCGAGAAGTTCGGAGCCTTCCGGAGAAGCCCAGAGCGGTCCTGGACCAATGGGCGATTTTATCGAGATGGAACCTGTCGCGGAAGGGGGAGCGGGCATGCGAGGTCCACATCAATGCGCAGGAGATGAGGACGGTATCCTCAGTGGCGAGACATCTATGCAGGTCTTCGAGGTGCTGGTTCAGTCGTTTTCTGGTTCTGTGCGATTCCATGGTCATTGTCGGAGTTTTTCGAATGATGAGGAGCTCATCCAGGCCGTTGATGACGCAGCTGAGGAAGATCGGAGCTACTTCGCAAGCGACGGGGGCGAGGCTCACCCTGAGATGGACCCCGACCGGCATGAATTCAGCAGACGGCCCGTCGCGAGGGGAAGGGATCGGCAGCGCGGAGATCACGAAGGCGAAGTCCGAGCAGAAGAAGTCCAATCTGAGCGACCAGCACCCCTTCGAGAGGCTCCTGGGCGACCAGCTGGAGATCAAGGGCATGCACGACGACTGCGCCCAGGCTTGGCATCTCTAGGCGCGCTGCTGGCTACGGCGATCTGGTGCGACGCCCTCGCATTGAGCTCAGCCAACACCAACGAAGCCTTCTCGAGCTATGACACCTCGGATGACCAGCCTGACAGCGACGAGGATGCAGATGAGCTTGCAGCGGAGGCCAGCATGATCGCCGGCGTCGCGGAGGGCGCGGGCGCAGGCAAAAAGAGCCCATCGAGAAATAAGTCCGCGAAGAGCAAGAAGTTGATCAAGGAAAAGGCGCGAGCTCCTCCAGCTGCGCAGCGTCGACCTGTCGCGCCCACGAAGAAGAAGGGGCCCCTGGCGTTCGAAAATGCCGCGGCTGAGAAGCCCGTCAACGGGAGCTCGCTCGGAGGCGAGCAGCTCGAGCTCCCCTCGAGGCTCCTGATCCACGCGGTGCAGGACGACGCGAACATCTCAAGGAGGTGGGGCCGTCTCCTCGCGACGTGTTCCACAAGCGCCTGCCCTTCTCGACTCCAGGGCAGCGAGACAGCACGGTGGCCGCCGAGCTGGACATCCGGTGCTTCGTGGAGCGGCCCCCCCTCAACCGAGGGATCAAGCCCTACCAAGCCCTGACGCGCATCTTCCCCGAGTAGAGGTCCGAGATGCCGATCGCGCTGCGGGCTCTTCGCAGCCAGGAGAAGTATCAACAGGCGTGGGAAGGGGGCCCAGCATCCATCCAGGCCGTCCATTACATAGCACGAGAGGCAGTTCGCAGGGGCCACGTCGACGAGGGCATGGCGTTCCTGCTCGCGTACGACTGCCCCCTACCAGAACAAGACTGGCTACAGCTGAGAGCGAAGGACGTGCACGTCAGCTACGGTGACCCCAAGGACCCCAGGACGGTCAAGGTGGCCATCCTGCTGGGGCGACGTCATCGAGGCGAGAGCGTCAAGACCGGCCAGGAGCAAGAAGTGGCCATCGACGACCTGGGGATCGCCATCGTCATTGCTGAGCGTGTGAAGGCACTGGGCAAGCAGGCCCTCGTGTTCGATACCACCGCGTCCCGAGCTGGCTCAGTGTGGAGACAGATTCTTTCGGATGGCGATATGAGTTGGATCGGCCCTATGCATATTCTACGACACACCAGACCGAGTCACGACATTCTGCACAAGAGGCGCTCCATCGCGGAGATCAAACGGAGAGGACGATGGACGCAGAGCAAGAGCATGGCAAGATACAGCAAGCCTCACTCGCTCATTGTACGCAACGCCCGACTACCGACGAAAGCTAGACGAGAATGGCGAGAAACTCGACATGATCTACGAGTGCTGCTCCGCACCGTGCCCAACACCAGCCCCTGGAGCTCGGCCGCCAACGCAGCCAGCGACCTCCTCGGCGAGTACGGCTCCCATGCTTTCGAGCCCTTGGATGAGTCGGAGTGAGACGTGACGGCTTCGCCGCATGCACCTCCCGTCCAGCAGCCTGCTGCAAAACTGCCCTCATCTGTCCGCGTCCTCCCCTCTCCTCCTTAATGTGCATAAGGTGCCCCACCCTCACAAGTCCCATTTCTATAGTGCAAACCGAGGTTACGGGGAGTGGGGGTCTTTTCCTGAATGTTGGTCCTCGGCAGCCTTGTTGTTTGTGCCCTGGTGATCCGGGGCCCCTCTCGAGGCCCAGGTGCCGCCGTCGGCGGCAAGAGAACCTTCGGAGCAGCCTGCGTCCGTGCTGCGGTGAGTTTGGAAAAACGATATATCTGGCCATCTCATCGCACCGTCTCAGAATACATATTTGTTAACGGGCTTTCTTAGAGTGCGTGGAGGTAGGGCCGTGGAACTATGATCCCCCCTCGGGCCTCGGTGGGACGGAGGGGGGTGGGACAGCGAGAGTGTGCTCAGAAGTGCGAGAGACATGCCATTGTTGTTTGGGCTCTAGCTTCCCGACCCGCCCGCCCAGGGGTGTTTTCCTGAAAGCTGGTCCTCGGCAGCATTGCCTTTTTCGGTGCCCTGGTGATCCGGGGCTCCTCTCGAGGCCCAGCTGCCGCCGTCGGCGGCAAGACAACCTTCGGAACAGCATGCGTCCGTGCCGCGGTGAATGTGGAAAAACGATCTCTCTGGCCATCCCATCGCACCGTCTCAGAAGCTTTGTTTTTGCCGCTGGAGGCCGCCTATACGGCGGTGCGGACATGTACTTCCTCCCCGTTGCCGCTGGAGGCCGACCCTACGGCGGGCATGACCGACGTTGCACGACGCAGCACGACGCAGCACGACGACTGGCCCCAGCTTGGGGCCACCAGCTCCCAGCGAGTGGGTTGGGCGACACGCCGCGAACCCGACCGACGCTCCCAGCGAGAGGGTTGGGAGCAACGCCGCGAACCCACAAGCACCGACACGCACGACAGATCCATTCACCATCGAAAGGCTATCGCCATCGAGCTGAGGGGAGTGACAGACTATGCCATTGTAAATTGTTGCGCGCTTCGCGTGGAGAACGGCCTCACTGCCGAGTCCACTGATTGGGACATCCACGGGTGCTCTGATAAGGCTTGAGATCGGCCCTGCGAGCGGCCGCCTGCCCCAAACCTTGTTCGTTGGCCTTCGAGAAATCCGCGTAGACAAAATACACCAAGACCTCAACGAGGCACCCTCAGTGGCACGTAGCACCGCACAGCCACCTGAACGATCGGGGCGGCACAATCGTGAGCCTATTTGGCCCCTCTGAGTTCTCGGACTTCTCCCTGAGAGCCCGTCGATGCCCCTCCAGCACCACCTGACGACGCCCCTCCGCAATCCGTAGGCTCTCTTGCTGACCCGCCGGCCACCGCGACCTCCCTTCATTCCTTGCCAGTGAGCTCAACCTCTCGGCCGTCGACATTCCCTCACAATCCATATCCGCCCCATGCCCGCGCTACGCACGGGAGCCACAACAAGGCCATACCGTAGAGCTTGCGTTTCCAGGCCGATGGGGTGGCCCCTGTGGAGGGCGAATGTGCCAGAGTGGCGTGCCTGGGCTTCCCGGCAGCTTGACAGGGGACTCCCGCTTCGCCTGGGCTTGCATGCGAAATTTCAGAGTCAGCGATCTCTTCATTCTTTCCAGAGGGTACGCTCGGAGGCGCGGTGCTGTGCATCCTTCCCACTGGTGGTGCGGCTGCCAGCATCCCACCAAGTGGCACGCGTGCCCTGGCTCTTGCACAAACGAGGGACGAACCACCACAAACCTCTACCAAATAAAGGATTCCGCGGCCCAGGGGGGCTGCCCTGGGAAGGCCTGGACGGAGGAAGGCTCCCAAGGGGGGTGGCCCAGGGGAGCTGGGGCTCAGGCTCAGGGGGGGGTCGAGGGGGACGAACCACCACGAAGCACGACGAAAATAAAGGGTTCCGCGGCTCAGGGGGGCTGCCCTGGGAAGCCTGGGCGGAGGAAGGCTCCCAAGGGTGGGTGGCTCAGGGGAGCTGGGGCTCAGGCTCAGGGGGGGGACCGAGGGGAGGAACCACCACGAACCACGACGAAAATAAAGGGTTCCGCGGCCCAGGGGTGCTGCCCTGGGAAGCCTGGACGGAGGGGGGGTCCCAAGGCGGGGTGGCCCAGGGGAGCTGGGGCTCAGGTTCGGGGAGGGGCCGAGGGGGACGAACCACGACGAACCATGTCCGCGGCCCAAGGGGGCTGCCCTGGGAAGCCTGGACGGAGGGGGGGTCCCAAGGGGGGGGGGGGGGTGGCCCAGGGGAGCTGAGGCTCAGGTTCAGGGGAGGGGCCGAGGGGGACGAACCACGACGAACCATGTCCGCGGCCCAAGGGGGCTGCCCTGGGAAGCCTGGACGGAGCAAGCCTCCGAAGGGTGGGTGGCCCAGGGGAGCTGGGGCTCAGGTTCAGGGGAGGGGCCGAGGGGGAACCACGACGAAAATAAAGATGTCCGAGCTCTAGAGCACAGCTGTGCAAGAGAATAAAGGGTTCGGAGCGAGGGGGGCTGGGGCCAGGGCCAGGAGGGGGCCGGAGCCAGGGGGAGGCGAGGGGAAGCTGGGGCCAGGGCCAGGGGGGCCAGAGCCAAGGGGTGGGGGCGAGGACGACGACGAACCACGAACCACGAGAATAAAGAGTCCGAAGCGGGGGGGTCTGGGGCCAAGGCCAGGGGGGCCAGAGCCAAGGAGGGGGGGCGAGGGGAAGCTGGGGCCAGGGCCAGGGGGGCCAGAGCTAAGGGGGGCGAGGGAAGCTGGGGCCAGGGCCATGGAGGCCAGAGCCAAGGGGTGGGTGGCGGGGACGACGACGAACCACGAACCACGAACCACGAAAATGAAGGGTCCGGAGCGAGGGGGGCTGGGGCCAGGGCCAGGGGGCGGGAGCCAGGGGGGGGAGGCCAGGGGCGGGCCAGAGCCAGGGGGGGAGGGCGAGGACGACGACGAACCACGAACCACGAACCACGAAAATAAAGGGTCCGGAGCGAGGGGGGCTGGGGCCAGGGCCAGGGTGGCCGGAGCCAGGGGGGGGGGCGAGGCGAGGGGGGCTGGGGCCAGGGCAAGCGGGGCCAGAGCCAAGGGGGGGGGCGAGGGGAAGCTGGGGCCCAGGCCAGGGGGGCTGAGACCAGAGCTGAGGGGGGGGTCACGATCCATATCCGCCCCATGCCCGCGCTACGCCCGGGAGCCACAACAAGGCCATACCGTAGAGCTTGCGTTTCCAGGCCGATGGGGTGGCCCCTGTGGAGGGCGAGTGTGCCAGAGCGGCATGCCTGGGCTTCCCGGCAGCTTGACAGGGGACTCCCGCTTCGCCTGGGCTTGCATGCGAAATTTCAGAGTCAGCGATCTCTTCATTCTTTCCAGAGGGTACGCTCGGAGGCGCGGTGCCGTGCATCCTTCCCACTGGTGGTGCGGCTCCCAGCATCCCACCGACGGACTGCAATCTCGCGGCAAAGGCACGCCACGGCGCCGGCGCTGGGAGCACGCCTTCAGCAAATCCCCAACGCCCCACCGCGGCGGCTGGCGCGGACTATAGACTCCGTTATTCGTTGTCTCCTCTTCCTCCTCCTCCTCCTCCTCCTCCTCGTTAAAGGGGCCCTTGACGCCATGCCCTGACGGGCACGGATGCTCCCTCTCGGAGCGTGCATGGTTCCGCAGGAGAGGAGATTCCTTGTCCTCCTCCGTCGCCCATCACCCATTCTGATTGTCGAGGCAGACCCGGCCGTGGCCACGAGGGGCGCCAACCGAGGCCCAGAGAGGCCCGCAAAATTGTCCAGAATCCTCGGGCATCGGCCCTCGATCGACGGTCGACCATGATCGACGACCTCTGCCGTGGCACCTCTGCAGTGGCACCTCTGCCGTGCCGCAGGATGTGGCGACTGCAAGGCCGCGGGCAACTACGCGGCGGACCTTGAGAGCATGCACATGGAGTGGGGTGGTGGTGGTGGTGGTGGTGGTGGTGGTGGTGGTGGTGGTGGTGGTGGTGGTGGTGGTGGTGGTGGTGGTGGTGGTGGTGGTGGTGGTGGTGGTGGTGGTGGTGGTGGTGGTGGTGGTGGTGGTGGGTGGGTGGTGGTGGTGGTGGTGGTGGTGGTGGTGGTGGTCTCCGCCGCCGCCGCCGCGGCGGCGGCCATCGGCGGCAATCTCTGGCCCTCGACGGCCGTCACACAGGCCTTCCGAGGCCACCCGGAGGTCATGGGCGACCGTCGCCAGCCCTCGGCGACCTTGAGCGGTGGCGGCGTCGTTGTCGAGGTCGTCGTTGAACGGGGATGGGGAGGAGGCGGGCGAGGAGGAGGTGGAGGAGCAGGAGGCGGAGGAGGAGGAGGAGGAGAAGGAGGGGGAACGCCTCCAGAGCATGCACGTGGAAGGGTCGTCGTCGTGGCCGTCGTCGTCATCCGTCGTCGATCGAGGATCGAGTGTCAAGTTTTTGGTACTGGGGGGCCTCGAGAAACCTTCCGAGAAATTTTCTGGAACTTTCAGAAACTTCTGGAGACTTCCGCGGACCGTCGTCGGGGTCGTCATCGGATGGAGGGCGTCGTTGGCAGTCCTGGGAACAGGGCCAGGAGGGATGAGCAGACGGCGAAGAGGAGCAGGAGGAAGAGGAGGTGGAGGAGGAGGACAACGACGACGACGACGACGACGACGACGACGACGACGACGACGACGACCGCGTTGACCTCGGGTCAGGGCAGGCGAAGTCGCGGGGTTTCCCCATCAGTCTGTACCTCGACGCGCGCGAGCAGAGGTACGTCGAGGAGCTCGTCGCCGCTGCCGTCGACGTCGTCGACTATGTCGTCTCAGAGTTTTCAGGGGTGGCGATTCGTGAAGCTCTCGTCACTGGTAGCCCCAAGGGCTCTCAGGGCCTCGTGATGGGTGCTCTGGAGCCCATCCGGGCCCTCCGTAGAAAAGTTGGGGTCCCCCTGGGCCAGGGCCGCCTCCGTCACTGCCTTCTAGGGAAGCAGGGGTCGCCGACGTCGACGTCTTCGTTTGGGACCTTCTTGCTTGTTTCTGGCGGCTCTCGTCGCCACGGCCAGACACGAATCGAGAGATTTGCCAAGATGGATCTCCGTTGTTTTGGATAGAGCTTCAAGCGAGGGAGCCTCTCGGGGGCCCGCCTTCCTTCTGAGAGGCCTTCTCAGAAGCTCCCGACCCCGTGTAATCAGAAGCTCCCGACCCCGTGTAAGAGTCGGCGGCGAGCCCAGGAGGGAATGCTAAGGGGGTGGGGCTTCTCAGAAGGCTCGGAAGACCTACGGCCTTCCTTCTGAGAAGGCTTGCCCCCTCTCTCTCTCCCCCTAGGCTCGCCGCCTAAAGAAGCCCCCATGCCTTCTTAGAAGGTCTTCCCCACCAGCCCTGCCCCCGACAAGAGCTCAAAACCAGCATCCTGGCCCATTCTGGCGAGTTTTCCGAGCTGCGTCCAGCTGCGGTGACGAGGGGAACCCTTGCAAGATCAATAGCGAGGAAAAGGAGGAGGAGGAGGCAGAGGTGGAGCAGGAACAGGACGATGATGATGATGAGGAGGAGGAGGAGAAGGAGGAGGAGGAGGAAGAAGAAGAAGAGGAGGAGGCGCTGCCGCCGAGGAGTTTAACACCTCGAACTTCGTCGCCATCACGAAGGACGGCAAGTACATCACGCCCCAGGTCGGGTGGGGAGGGACGATGGCTGCGCGCCCATGCCGATCTCGGTATGGTTCGGTCCTCGGACCAGGGGCAATGTATGGCAGGTTCGCGCCTCGTCGACGCGGCGGCGACCCCAGCGCGGGCATTCAAGAATGACAGCCGTCGGTGACCAACAATCGACCAGCATCTAACGATCAAATCCGCGACACCCTGCAAGGTTGAGCGACTCCCGCGGTGTCCCAACCAGCGCCGACGGCCTCGGGACATGAACTGGCCGTATGCGCTTTCGTGGCCTGGCCAAGAAGGCGGCAAACGCCGCCGCCGTCAACGTCCTCGTCTTCGGCGACGACGTTTCGAACGTTTGTGGGGCCTTTCGAGGGGTTCGTAAGGGAAGTGTGGTGCACAACGAGGAATTCACGATATACAGCGCTTGTCGCAAAATGTGAGAATTTACTTGAGTTTGACTTCGCACACAGGAGCCACATGTGAGGGCTGCGGCCCCTGCGCCTTGCCTCCCGCGGTCCAGCTCCCTTGGCCAGACACAGCGCGCCTCGTCGCGCCTTCGGGGGAAGCACGCCGCCCCGCTGTAGGCGGCTAGAAATGTTGGCCCAGATGGACCTTGGAAATGGCCGGTCTTGAGCAGATTTTGGTCGGTCGGGGAAGCAGGGCGTCCTGCCAAGGAGCCAGGGGGCCTTTTTGAAGCCCTCCCGCCTTCGTGGAAGCCTCCGGGTCCTTCTGAAGCCCCCTGCCTTCTGAAAAGGCCCCCCTTCGCTCCACGCCCTGTCGCGCGCCACCAACAGGCGCACGCACTGACCAGGGGACCAGGATCGGTGTGGGTGTGTCCTCGTCTTCTTTGCCCCTCTGCTCCACTGTTTGTAACATTCTGCTGTAGTGCTTGAGCTTTTGCCGCTAGGAATCCGCACGCTCAGGACGGCTGTTGGATGTCTGCTCTCCCTCCCTTTCGTCTCGCCGTCCTCCTTCTCCAAGCGGAATTTGTACACATACATCGGTGTCGGCATATACGCAATAAGGGTGCATTGTTTACTTGCCTCTTTCGGCCCACTGTATCCTTGTCTATTCCGACCAGTTGCTCCAGTTCCCAATGTTGCCTTCGCATAATTGTGTCTTCCGGTCCAATTTTGTTTGCCGTGTGCCGCTGAAGCTTTCTCACCGTGGACGTCCAAGGGTGTCCACGTCTAAAATTCGTTGGGATCGGTCCTTGGAACTCGTCTGGGCTCCGCGCTGGCCAGTTTTCCGAGCCGCCCTTGGCTGTGGCGACGATCACCTCCAGGATAAGCCACCTCCAAACCACGTTGTCGTCGCTCTGGCGCCTCTCACCCCGACCGCACGTTGCATTCGAATTGCTGTTTTGAGCTGGCGCCCCCAGAGGAGTGCAACCAGACATATCCTTTCCCCCCCCCCTCCCAGAGGAGGAAAGCAGCAAAGGCGGAGGTGTGTCTTAAGCCACGCGCCAGCCCTTGGCACGGCGCTTGGGCATGGAATCGAACAAATACAGATGATTGCCCTACGTTGTACGTTCCTGGGTAAACCAGAGCCACAAAGAAGAAACCATATTAATAAGAAGACGACGAAGACGATGAGGAAAGCTACGAAAACGAAAAGGAAAACTACAGACGACGACGAGGAGGAAGAGGTCCGCAATAACGCCACAGGGTAACCTAAGGTCGATTTTATTTTGTCCGAAGCCACCTTTCGTCGGTCGTTAAGGGTGTATTCGGTGAGGGCTCGAGTGCCCACCAGCAAGGCATGCTGTCCCTTTTTTTGCGGGTTCGCCAGCCTACTGCACACTCCGACTATAGTACGTCCGTCTTTCTGCCCGCGTCTTTGGCTGCAATGACCAAAAATGATCAGTTTCGGAACATGGTTGAAACTCCTCGTGTTGGGCCTGATGCTTGCGAGTCTCTGGCTTTTGGCAGTGGAGGGCAATCTGCTGCAGCAACATCGTCAGGTCGCAACCTGCGGCAAAGAATTGGACATGGCCCAGTGCCCTTGGAAACTCTCAAGGAACATGTCGGTTCAGCCAAAGGCGACATGCTGTCCGCGATCAAGCATATTGTAGAGGTACTAGAAAAAATGTCCAAGACCCCCGCTGCTCTTACGAGAACGGTCAATAAATCCTTCAAGAGTGCGTCAAACAAATGCGAGACACGCTTATCAATGGCGGAGGATAGCATCAAAAGAGCCGAGTTTCGCATCAGAGAGTTCGAGGAGCAGGTGCAGAACCTACTGGAGCTTCTCGGTGATGTCGAATCACGTGTGTCGCCCAAACCAGACTCTACCTTGTTGCCGGGGCCTCCAGCACGAAGTGGACCCCACCATCCGTATCATTCGGTTCAAAGGTATGCTCCCGAAACAGGTTGTGCTCAAGTCGCTCACAGGCGGTTGCAGCGCAGTCAGCTTGGCGCCTGTGGATTCGAGCTACAAGGTGCGGCCACCGCGAAGCGTCTCGTGCTTCAGGTCGGCGGCAATGCGGCGTACAGCTCGAGGAAAGTTTCATAAGCTTTTAGCGCGCTGCCCAAAACAGATGGTTCGTGGGAAAGCTTCGCTGGTCGTGACGTTGCAGGAGTGGATCATGAATTGCGCGTGGCATGCGACGAAGCCCTTGCGAAGTCAAGAGAGAGAGAGAGAGAGAGAGACAGCTGGCGTTCAAGCGCATCGAGAAGCGTCTTGCAAGATTGGGTCCAGGTCGTCAGTGCTTCGCTGACAAAACCCATAGCGATGTCAGTTCGTCGTGCAGGCCATTGGCGTCTGTGGTGCCCGAACCCAGTGACGAGCCCCATGAGTTCCGCCTCGGCATCCCGAACTTGGCGGGGATCGGCGCGCGCAAGACGGACCGCAAGGAAGCTGTCAGATCTGAATATCGGGCATTGTCATCAACGCAGTGGAGCGTCGCGCACAGCGCTCGGGGCTTGGAAGGCCCCAGGGGGAAGCAGTGGCCTTCTCAGCTGTTGCCATGGAATTGTCGCACGCTTCGATCACCATCTTTCTCATCGCCGCTCTCAGAAGCAGCGCCGCATCACTGAGTATATGAAAGCAGGGTGCATCACGGCATTGCAAGAGACACGGCGGCGTAACCGAGTTCCAGGATGTCGTTAATCAGGCTTGTCTCGACGTCTCTGCGCACGCGTCATTGACCTAGCTTTCGGCGCCCCGGCGCCCGCGCGCCGATTGTCGCTGGTTGGGGGCGGCGAAGGGGCGGGCCATCATGGCTGCCATTGCATGTTCGGCTTCGTTGTGGATATTTCATTTTAACATGCATAGACGCACTATCACGAGAGAGGGGCGAGCAGAGCTTGAGCGATTCATTGCGCATCGCCGAGCGGCTGCGGCGCAATCGCCTGTCTCTGGCCCGGCGGCCCTCGCCGGCGATTCTAGCGTCGGCGCGCAGCTCCCGAGGCGCGCGTTAGATCGCCCTGGGATGGCGAACGCGATCTTCTCGGACTGGTCCGATCAGAGGGGGGGGCCATGGGATGACATATCGAAAGAGTTCCTTCAGCTACACCAACCAGGCCCCATTCATTATCACGCGGGTGGGCATGCTTTAACGCGCGCAGATCGATGCTTCATATTAAGTCCTGGGTGGGCGGTGAATCAGATGGGTCTCTGCGGGCGGCGCCCGGGGATGGCCGGGATCCTCGGCGCCCAGGAGATCGGGCCACGCGCCCGCGCACCTTGAGTTCGGCTGCGCCCCCCGTCGTCGGCGGACGAATTCCCGGCCCCGACGACAGTCTGAGGGCGCCGCGGGATTAGGGCGCCATGGGCAAGGTTTGCGAAATCACCAAGGATGAGCCGATGCCCCTTGCTGTGCTCCTGGAGTTTTAAACGTCTATGATTCGGGCTGCTGCGAGGCGCGTTCTTAATTTGCTCATCCAGCGGCAGCCTGGCGAGCCGCGCGCCAAGTTCGCGGCGGCGAGGAGCGTCGCGAGGGCAGTCCAGCGCCAGGGCAGCCCCCTCTCGCAAGATGATCTCTTCTCATCCTCTGGGCAGGCGCAACTTGGAGCTGGGCCACGTCTCTCGGGAGGTGGCCCTCAAGGCCCCGAGCGAATGCGCTTTGGAATCGCGCCGGACATGAAGACTGGCGGCGGAAGAGCAGGGGGGGAGATGCGTCGGGTCCTGGAAGCCGCGAAGCGCGACGCTGAAAAAGGTCCAAACTCCGCGGGCGCGCGACCGCGGCCGCCCGCTCGCTGGCCGCAGGACGGCGCTCGCCGCCGTTCGATGCGCTGGCGGCGTCAGCAGTTCGCAGGAACAAACATCATCTCCGTTGGCTGAATAACAGGGGAGGGAGGGGCCCTTGCGCGTGGAGAAGTTGATTCGGGCGCAGCTGCTGATGCCCATCTTGATCGCTTCGCTCCTTCTCCTGCCGAGCTCGCCCATCTTTGGCCTCTTGCAGTTCCGTCTGTGACTAGATTTCTTGAGCGGGCCCAACATGGCGCCCCGGGTCCTGGCGGGCCCCGCGGGCTGGGCGGAAGGATCACACTCGCGGCGCCGAACATGTGGAGAAAGCTCTCTGGCGGGTCCGCGGCGGGCAGCGTCTCTCGAGGACCCGCGATCACATCCGAGCAGTTTACGTCCCGAGGGTGGCATGAGCAGAGGGATCTCGAGGGCGCGGCAGTTCGGGGCGAGTCGTCAACTCGTCCGCTGGGGCTCAAAAATACCCCCAGCAAAGTGCCGGCGACGGTGGCGCGCCCAGGGCTCGGACAAGCTCCCGGTGAATTCGTTCATCCAGGGCTTCGTCTCAGGTGGAATCTTCGGGGTCGACATCCTGGAGCTCGACGCCCTGGCCAGGGTCGCATCCGCGTTGCCATCTCTTGCTCGAAGGCTGCCTGCGTTGGTGGCATATGATTATGGTCGCGGTTTTCCTTCGATCTCGCGCGAGCGGTTGTTCCGGGTGCTTGGGCGGCTGGGATTGCCTCCGCCTCTCCTGTTCTCCGCGCGCTGCATGGGCGCATCCTTGGTTTTGGCGCGGCGGGCCCGGGGGCATCTTTACTTTGCATTCTCGGGGCGGAGTGCTTCGAGGATGCCCTGGCACTGGTGTCCCGCGCGCGGTGGCTTCTCGCCCATTCTTTGCGCATCCCAATGCACGGGTGGATCTGGCTTCTACGCGGAAAGGCATTGCTCGCGCGCGCGCGGGCGGCGCGGGCGGGCGCCTTCCATGATCTGGGTGATCTTCGGCCTTTCAAGTTAGGCCCCGTTATGAGTGCCCGAATTGTTGGTCTTCGTTTGAAATCAATAAGTGCGCCATTGTTCCTCTGGCTGGTGAACCCACCCCTCCACTCATGCAGATGCACCGCGAGTGGCCGCTGAAGCAAATTCCTGAACGGAGTGCGTTTCGCATCGAAGCTACGAGCTATGACCACTTGCCTCGGGCGCGCATTGGGACCAGCTGCAGGCGAGCATAGTCGGCGAGCCCCCTTTCTGAAATGGGCGCGCAGGACAGTCCAGACCTCTGCCGCCAACTCGTCCTGCTGCCATCATTTCGGAGGTTGATAGACCTCCTACCCTGACACGTCGATAAAGGAATTGGCCGTCTTCGGTTCGCGAGAGGGCGTCTGCGGCCGTCATTTTGCGGGCCCAGGTCCGTCGGTTTTGGTTTTTGGCCGTTTTCACGAAGGGGGGGTTTACTGAATGGAGGTTTGTCCACCGCCGATCATTACTTTTCGCTGCAATGATTGATGCCTGCCCGCGCCGGCACGCGGCGCTCAAGTCGCGACCCCCCCCCCCGCGCTGCCGCCTGAATATGTCTCGCCCCTCCCGCTTCGTTGCGAGCGCCTCGCGCTGGATGATTTGAGCTGTCTGAGTGGGGCGGCCCCAATTTCGGATCGGTTCAGGAAGTGCGCGCGAGGTCTCCGATGAGAGCGGTGCTGGCGACGTTCCCCGAATGGCGGATTCACGCGCGTTGCCTGGACGATGCTAAGATCCATTTGTCTTTGGCCGAGGCCGCTAGCGGAGCTTGGGCCCCGAAGATTTGGATCGGGGGCCCGCTCGCGGTCCACCTGTCCATCGCCGCTGCTGGGTTTTACTAAGATAAGGAGTTGGCGAACGCTGGTGCTGCCGCTCTGGCTGTTTCTCGCTGCCTCCTCCGCCCTGCCGCCGCTGCCGCGGCTGCTGACTTCCTTCCCCGTCGCGTTCCAGTCCAGGGCCCCGCAAATCTGGCCATTCGCAAGTCTCTGTGCCCGTCCAGTCTAAGCTGGAGGCATCGCATGCCAATGGGTGTTGAATGTTTACCATGTTTCGTCAGCGGCATGGAAGTGTTTAGCGGTCGCGTGGACTACCTCCGAACGAACGCACAACCCTCACGAGCCGAAGTGCCGTTGCATTCTCGGCTGCGGAGGCCCCGACTCGTTTAAGCACTAGTTCTCTGGATGTCATCGATTCCGCTTCCCATGGGCTCGCGTTGTTGGCTATGGCCTCCCATCCCGTGCCATTGCCTGCTTTGGTTTGCTCGCTGGTCCGCCTCGTCCCAGCGCTCTCGATCTCCCAGCCGTTGCGTTCCTGTTGCGCTCTCTCGCTCACCCTCTCTTTAAATCCAAGGGCTCTGCGGTCGAGGCGCAAACGATGCAACTCGCGCCGCAGGCACGTGCGTCTCTCCGCCGCGGGCGCGTCGGGCGCGGCTGACCACAAACACGTGGCGTTCGGTTACGTGCGAGGAGGAGGAGGAGGAGTAGGAGGAGGGGGAGGAGGATGGGGGAGGAGGAGGAAAAGGAGGAGGAAGAAAAGGAGGAGGAGGAAGGATGTAAACTTGGAAAAAGATTCGATCTATGCTCCTGACAGGCGCCACGGAGCGTGCTCCCCAGCAACACCAACAGAGTCCTCAGGCAGCCGGCGGCGCGCACAATGGGCCTGGGCGGTGGGAGGTCACCATGAATCAGATGGGTCTTGATGGAAGAATGTTTCTGCCGTTTTCGGACTCGCGGGGCCCGTCCTGGACCCCAGCACGCTCAAAACGACTTAGGCTGAAGAGCTGGTCCTTTAGAAAGCCCCAGGGCCCGAGACCCGTTTTCCTCAGGCCGCGTTTTGTTCATGATGAGGGGGACGTCGTTTTTTCAAAGGAGGCCGGTCGAATTCCCAATTTGTCTGCACCTTTTTGGGTTTCATCGGAACGTCCTCGTGGCCACGGCGGGGTTCCAGGAAGGAACTCGGGAGCGTGAGGGGGGGCCGTTCGGGCGGACTTGCCCCACGCCGACGGTCACCCCAGTGAGCCGCTCTCCAGATTGTCCTGCTCAGAACCCTTCCGGCCCCTCAGAGAATCCCCCTGTTTTTCAGCCATCGCGCCCTCCAAGAGGCATCCTTGGGAGCCTCCAAGCCCTTCCGAAATTTCCCCCCCTCCCGTCTCAGCCCGTTCGCCCTGCAAGAAGCCCCCTTGACGCCTCGGGAGGTCGCCTACCTCCGCGCAACCCATGTTGCTCCGCCGCCGATAGGCAGCTCGCCGCCGACCTCGGAATAACAGTGGAGCAGCGGCCCATCGACTTCGAGGCCGAGGTGGACAGCTTCGCCGAGGTTGGCGCCTGGGGCACCTCGTCGTCGTCGTCGGCGGCGGCTGCGGCGTCGTCGTCGTCTTCGTCGTCTTAACTTCTGAGTGGTTTCCCAAATGTTTCGGCCTTCGGCGGTCGTTTGTTCGTATCCTGGGAAATGCCAGTCCCCAGACTCCAGCGAAAGCACGAGCAACTCCATCCCCTCGCCGAGGTCGGCGCAGTGGGCACCTCGTTTATCTTTTGACGTTTGGCAGACATGAGGCGGGGCCTGTTGCGCCACCTGAATGCAGACTAAACGGAGTAGGGAGTAGGAGGTGCGAGGAGGCACAGAAAAGTAGAGAATCCCGAGAGGCATAAAGTATAAGATCTGCTGGCGTCAGCACCTTGTCCTCTTTGTTATCCTCCTCTTTCTCCTCCTCCTCCTCCTCCTCCTCCTCATTCTCCTCCGCCTCCTCCCCTTCAGAACCGACCCGCCCACCCGACCACTCTTGGGGCGCGTTTTGGCCACAATTCCCTTCGAGTGGAGGAGGAGAAGGAGAAGGAGGATGAGGACGAGGAGGAGGATGAGGCGGAGGGAGGAGGAGGATGAGGAAGAGGACGAGGCGACCCCAGGACGCGTCCGCTCAAGGTCAGCGACAGCACAGGAAAATCCGTCTCATCGCCGAGAGTGTCCGCGGCTCGGCTCGGTCGGCTGCTTCGCAGGCGGCTGCTCTCGGTCGGTCTGCTTCGGTCGGTTGATGCTTCGCTGCATCCTCCCATCGCAGTTGAGTTCCCTTCCCAAATCCCCGAGGTCCGCCCTAAAAAGCTGGCCGCTCAGAAAATAGGCAAACTCGGGGATACACTCGGACGCACCTCTGCCGAGGATAGACGCCATCGCATCGTGTATCCCGTCGATCGTCTGGCAAAGTCGAGGATTGGGTCGCAATACCCCCTCGTTATCCCAAGCAGTCTTCGGTTTCGCTGCCGAACTCGGCCCGTTTTCGGCTTCCGCCGCATGCTGTGGGCAACCATGCTCCCGAGAGGTCGGCGACGTGGGCGTGTGCATCGACCTCGGGTCCAGCACGGGCCCGGCCAGGATTGGTGTGGGTGTGCAGTTGGCGTCCTACTACAGTGCAGGGCACATTTCGATCCGGTTCTATTCTTCCCGGCCCGGTCCGCTTCGATTCCGATGCTCCGACGCCCGATGCTTGCATCGCGTTGCTGTGCACCCGCAGACGCCCTGGGGTACCGAAGGAAGATCTCTCAGCGCATGTGCCGACTGTCTGGCAGTGCTACGAGGGGTCAGTATTATGGTGGGTCACCAGTTCCTCCTGCAAGTCGAGTTTCCAGGATCGAAGCTCGAGAAGGTTTTTGGACGTGTGGAGCCGTTTTGGGAGTCTCTGGCGTTTTGGTGGGGCCCACGTCATCGAGGGAATGGAGTTTCTTCGAGGAAGTTGTCACCACCCTAGTGGTGACCCCCGTTTGCATTGCCCCAGACTGTGCCCCTCGCCCAGGTCGGCGCCGTGGGCACGGCCGTGGTCGTGACGCCCATCAGGTCCTTCACCAGGGGCGACCGGAAGTGGACCTTCGGCGAGCCGAAGGTTCGGGTGTTGCTGGAAGCCCCCCTAACGTTTCGCTCCATTTTGAAGCCCCTGGGGCCATCTGGCCGCCCATCTGGGCAAAAGATGGCACCTTGGGCCAGGGATACTTCCAGCAGCACCCGAAAGGTGCTGAAGCAGCTGCTGGACGCGGTGCGGGGCATCCAGGACCTCGTCCGGCGCGCAGAGAAAGTGGGGGAGGGGGCCAGGTCGTGAGGGGGGGGCCGGCGAGGCTGCGGCGCAGGGGACGGCCACCACCGTGCGGGCGCCCTCCCTCCCTTCCCTCAGGCCCAGGGTTCGGAGAATCGGGGCCGCGGGGTCGAGGGAGGTAGGACCGAGGTCCGGTCTCTGAAGTCCTCTCTCTCTCTTTTTGCCCGCTGGGTCGCCCTCGTCGCCGCGACTGGGTCGCCTTCGAAATTCTGGTCGGAGCGCGATCCTTGAGAGGTGCAGGAGGTGATCATCTTTGGGCACGGACCGATATTCGCGTCGTGGAACAATCGCGACCGTCAAGAACTCCCGTGATGGCTAACCGGCCCCAGGGAAGCGGGAAAGGGAGCGAAACCCCCAAGGGTCCACAACGTCGGGGTCTGGGAGGGAGGGGATGTAGGGGGGAGGAGGGATGATGTTGAGTTGCTCTACAATGCAGCTTGTAACATATCGCTAGAGGTTTTCGTCAGTTTCGGCATCCGTGGACAGACAACATAACGACTCAGGATGAGAGGCCGGTCCCAGGGAAGGGGTCGAGATCAGGCAGGCTCTGGCTGAAGGTCAATTGTTCAAGAGCGTCCTGAAACGATCTCAGAGGTGACTGCATCGCTTCAGAATGGCCGCTGCGCCCGACACATCCTCCAGACACGTTGGCTCTCAGAGATTTTCGATTTAGTTATCCCAACTCGAGTTGGAGCTCTGGGAGCCCAGGAGAGGTCCTGGGACGGGTCGTGAGCGGATTTGGATCAGGGGGTGGCGCGAGGTGGTCGGCTTTCAAAGACGAAGCCCTGCCTCTGAGGAGCCCTCTTGCCCTTTCAGAAGGCCCAAACCTTCGTAGAAATCCGGGCCCATCTGGGTATGTCTTGAGCCCTCCAGCCATGGCGAGCACCCCCTAAACCTTCGAAACGGTTTCGACGACGACGTCGACCATGGCGGCGTTCCAGTGTCATTCCTGGGGTCCGTCATGGCATGCCTTCCGAGCAGCGTCCAGCCGCGGCAACGAGAACCAGCATAACCACTCCAAAAGCTTCTGAAACACGTTGCCGACGACGGTGGCAGTGCCGTCGCCAGAGGACGGCGAGGCGGAGGACAGGCACAGCCTCATGCGGAGGCTGGATCTCGTGCCAGAGAAGCGCGGCACGATGCTCAGCATCTACCCGGGCCTCTGAGAGATCGCCAGGGGGCCGCTAGAGGAGGAGGATGCGGGGGAGGGAGAGGAGGAGGAGAAGGCTCATCCTCCTCCTCGGAAGAGGAGGAGGAGGAGGATGAAGAGGAAGTCCTCCCCCTCCTCGTTCTCATCCTCCTCGTTCTCCTCATCCTCCCTGGGGTGCGCGGCCCGCGGTGGGGCGCGCAGCCCTCGTTCTAGCTCTCTGCGCGCAAGTGGCCGCAGATCGAGACCTGTGCGTGCGACGGGGTCCCTCGCCGCGCCCGCCAGGGCCCAGCCTCCAGGGGGTCACTGTGAGGGGCGGGCTCCTGCCAATGGAGACGGGTCCTTGCTGGGATTTGCGCGTTGCAATGTTTGGCGCATTGGGCGCATTCGACCAGATTCTGGGCCACTGAACCCTTGCGGATCGATCTTGCCACAGAAATGCCGCAGAAAGATGGGGTCGAGGGTTCCGGTACTGTGTTTAGCTGCATCGATTTGTTCCCAACCGTCCTGTGGTGTTGGGTCCTCATTTTGAAGAGACAGCGCCCCGCGTCACCTCCCGCCCTCCTCCCCTTCCTTCCTCCTCCCTCCTCCCCCTCCTTGCATCTGCCCTCATCAATATGTGCCTCCCCAACCCAGTACAGTACAGCGCTTCGCGGTCCCATAGGGAGCTCCACCGAAGGCCCAAGTGGGAAGCCATTGTGACATTCTCAGACCGTTCGCTGTTGGGCCCGCCACGCGGCGCCCCCGTCAGTGCCTGGATCCAATGGCGCTCCCGCGGCGTGAGCTGCGCAACGCGCTGGTGCTGCCGCGCCAGGCGCGGCGCTGGCGGCCCATGCGGCTTCGGGCCTCTCGCGCGGCGCTGGCGAGGTGGCCCGCCTCCCGCGCTCGGCCGAAGGGCTGTGCCGCGATGCCGTGACCGTGCTGGAGGTTTCGAAGCCTCGCAGGGTCGCCGCGGCTGGTCCGCCTCCTGGGGAGGCGCCGGCGGCAGCGGAGGCCGCCCCCGCAGCGGGCGCTCAGGGCGCTGGCGGCCCCGCGCCCAGGCGGCACCGCCGGGGCGCGCGCGGCGCGGGCCTGCAGATGTTGGAGGGTGAAAGAGGGGGTCTGCAACAGGCAGGGGGTCTTCAATGTGGGCTGAATTGCCCATGTAAGCTCACTGCATCGCTCATGTATGCGATCGGGTACGATTGGCATCCAATGTTGGCGGCCATGGAGGGCCAGTCGTTCGTGCCCGCGCGTTGCCCGCGCGGGCAAACGCGCCGTCCATCCGTTATCGTTCATGCGTGCGGGCGTTCTTGCATATTTCGCGTGGGGCGGCGAAGTGTAGTGCAAATGTGTTTTGATTGTGCGATTGATGATCGTGTATGTTCCCAAACGATGACTTCTCGACCCCCAAGACAGATGTGGAATGAGTCCCGCGATTCTCCCAACATGTGAATGCACATGTTCCTTAATTTCAAAATGTAAATTACCATTTTTTATTTTTCCCAAAGTGCAGGAAACATGGAACAACACAGGATAATGCAAGGCTGTTATCCCACTTAGTGGGATGGTGAGTCCCCGAGGCACCAAGGCCTCAAGAGACTCTGAGTGAGGTTGACTGAGCATGCTCTGTTGCGTATGCATCTGTACCGTGGAGAGCCAGTTTTGGCTCAACTCATGCTGAGGTGGAAAAGGATTTCACCAGCCCTGTCGGGTAAGGTCCGTGGACCCCAGCTCCGCTACTTAAGTTATCAAGATAACTCACAGAGATTCATTTCAGTACTTGCATGGTAGCGTGATTGGTTTCTTCTCATAATGGCTGGTCTTGTGGACACGCGCCTGCTGGGACGACCGAACAAGTACTCAGGCAACCGCGACGAGTTCCCGACCTTCAGATACCAGCTGATCTGCTACTTGGGTGCCATCGACCCGAGATTGGCACCAGCAGTCACGACAGCAGCTACCCACGGCAATGTCATTACGCTTTCAGAGATGGGCGACGAGAACAAGCAGTTTGCAGCGACGATGGGATATATTCTATCACAGTTGCTCGGAGGCAGCGCGCTAACCTTGGTGGTGAATTGTGAGCCAGGCGACGGCCTGGAGCAGTGGCGACGTCTTTGTCTACGCGAGGATGCAGCTACTGCCTCCAACAAGGTGGCGCAGCTGCAGCTTCTAGTGAACACAGAGTTTTCAGGCAAGTGGGAGACCCACGTCGAGGAGCTCACGAAGTTTCTACTGGACATCAACCGATATCAAGAGAAGTTCTCAGAGATGATCTCAGACACCCTTGTCCAAGCCTTGACCAAGAAGAACACGCCCGAGCCGTTGAAGACTCAGGTGATGATGCAGACCTTCACGACCCACCAGATCCTACGGGAGACTTGCGAGGCCTTCGTTCAGCAGATGATGCAGCGCGACCCGAAGGCGACCAAGAAGAAGTTCGACCCGAACGCCATGGACGTGGACGCTTTCGACAAGGGCGGCAAGGGCGATTCCAAGGGCAAGGGCTTCGGCGGCAAGTCAGACCAGAAGGGCAGCGGTGGCAAGTCGAGCAGTCAAAGAAGTGCTTGGCAGAGTTCGGGCGGCAAAGGTGGCAAGGGCGACGGCGAGAACAAGATGGAGAGCAAGAAGGGCGAGACGAAGCTCTTCGACGGATGGTGTTCGAATCCCCACTGCGGCAAGTACGGGCACAAGATCGCGGACTGCAGGAAGTACGGCGGCGGCGCTTATCAGCCTGGAGGAGGTCAGCGATCCGTTTCTGAGGTTCAGCCAGGACCTCAACCAGCTCCAGGACCGGGCTCAGCAAGTACGGTCCATCCAGGAGATTCAGCGTCACAGACACAAGTACGTGGATCTGGGCGCGTACAGGCAGCAGTACTACCAGATGACGAAGGGGGTTGGATTTTTGCGTTTACGGACGACACTGACGGGGACGGATGCGAGACGCTCGTAGATAGTGGAGCTCACACTCATGTTGTACCAAAGGCTACGACGGAGAAGGGCAAGCTCACGGGCGAGCCAGGTCAGTCTCTGCGATCCATTACTGGTAAGGGTATTCGGACTTGGGATAAGCGGACGTTGACGGGTGAGGTCTTCGATTCGAACACGTCGATCCCTGCAGAGCTAGACGTCACGCCAGCTGAAGTTCGTAGAGGTGCCTTTTCAGTTGCAGAGATGAATGATGCAGGTTATTCGGTACACTTTGATCCTGACGGAGCCAAGATGGTCAAAAGCAACAAGCATGTGCAGCACGAGATAGATTAAGCGATCGAGTCGACAGTGACTTTGCGGTTGCGACGGGAGGTGAATGCGTTTCTTCTTCCCATGAAGTTCAAGGATCCGACAGGCTACGAGTCCACCATCGGCGATGTCGAGGACCACTCTGAGAAGGACGACGTGCAGATGAAGGAGGAGCCTTTCGAGACACAGCCTGTGGAGGTGCAGGCTGACAGTGGAGCGGCTAGTTCACGTGATGGCCCACGTGGTGTCGCAGAAGGAGTTCCAGATCAGACGGAGGCGCCCGTCGCACCCGGGCTCAAGAGACCAGCTCGGATGTCAGGAGAACATGTCAAAGCGCACATTCGGAGAGGTCACATTTCTTTCGAAGCTTGGTGTCAGGAGTGCATGATGGGACGAGGGCAAGAAGACCCTCATCGCGCGAGAGATCCAAACGCATCGGCTACTCCAGTTATATCATTCGACTATGGGTTTTTCAGTCTTGGTGAAGATGGATCAGGTCGGCGTCTTACCCTGGCAGTCGGCAAGGACAGAAGGACAGGCTACCTCATGGGAGTTGTCGTGGAAGCTAAGGGCAATCAGAGCTACGCTATAGCGGCCATCAGCGAGTACCTGGACGAGCTTGGCTACATGAGTATGGAAGTTCAGTTAGACGGAGAACCAGCACTGGAGGCATTCGTGAATGGAGTGATTTCGGAGCGTATCAAGAAGCTCGGCAAAGAGGCAGCGGAAGCTCAACTTCGAGTACGGCTAGTTCCAAAAGGAAGTCACGCTTCTCAAGGTGGAGTTGAAAGTGGAGTCAAGTCGGTTGCAGGTCTTGCGAGGACTGGGCGTTTGGCTCTGGAGAAGCGATACAACATGAAGTTCACTGAGGATGTCCCTATCATACCTTGGATGATTCGGCATCAGATATTCTGCCACAACAGGTACCAGCGGAGGAGGAGCAGCGGTCGCACATCTTTCGAGGAGCTCAGGTTGGCACCGTACACTTCACCCATGCTGGAGTTCGGAGAGACAGTGATCGGCAAGGATCACACGGAGCTGCAGGACAAGTTGGGCACGGCCTGGTGCAAGGGACTGTGGCTCGGGCGCAGTTCGAAGAGCGATGCTCATCTTATCGGCGCGGCGACGGGGGTAGTTCAGGCCAGGACAGTGAAGCAGCTGACGACGGAGGAGAGCTTCGACATGGAGATGCTCAAAGCCATGCGTTGGACGCCTTGGAGGACCTCGGTTAAAGCTGGATTCTACGAGGGCGAGAATTGGCAACCGACGGAGGGATGCCCTGGGTGTGAGCATGCAGCTAAAGGTCAGCACGGACGAGGACGGCCACCACACCACAGCAGGACATGCCAGCAGCGTCGGGCCGAGTACGAGAAGTCAATCGCCAGCAAGGGCGACGAGCAGCCGAAGGTGGTCGTGGTTCCCGTACCTACGGCCAGCTCGGAGGCTAACAACGGCGAGCAGCAAGCACAGCGACCAGCAGGGCCAGAGCCAGCACAAGGTCAAGATCCAGTTGAAGCAGTTCGTCGGGAGGTGCAGAAGATCGAGAAAAGGCTTCGTGGCAAGCAGGGAGTACCAGCTCCAGGGTCATCCGCTAAGCGAGGAGCTGCTGACGCTGACCTCGGTGAAGGCGGCCCTGGAGGCCCACCTGGAAATCGAGGCCTGGTGGGAGTCATCGAGAGCTTGAGCACTGGCGACCTCAGGAGGCTCGTGGCGGGCTTCAGCACGGAGGAGATGATGAGGCTCGCGGGCGAGGTCGACAAGGAGCTGAAGGACGACAGCGAGTTCAGCATCGTGATGGGCTGGGCCGAGGACGACGAGCGGGAGGCGAAGCAGTGCGAGCTAGATCGGTTCGACAACTACGACGTGTGGGGGCTCACGCTGAGGGGCCCTCACGGGCCTAAGGCACTTACGTGGACTTGGGTCTTGGAGATGAGGAGTGGCGAGCTCAAGGCGAGGCTTTGCGCGCGACCATTCGGCAAGCAGGCCAACAAGAGAAAGAATGAGCTGTACTGCCCTACTCCACTTTCGTTCTCA